ATAGGGTCAACATCTTTGCTGTAGGCCATTTTGTAAAGCCTGTTTTTGTATACACCTTGGCAAATAAAACAGTACTGAAAATTCACACAAAGGTTTCAAGTGAAATTATCGGTGCGTGTCACAATATCTCATTAATTAAATAATATATGTTATCACAATATGATACAGTTGAATGAGGATGAATTATCATGTTGAATTGTTGCAAAGCACTTTGTAGTCAAATCAGTTAGAAAATGCAGTCATGTTAGCCATACTCTGTGTAGCTAAGAAATGGTGGATAAACAAGCCTCATAAAAAAACCATAAGGATGTTGAATTAACAAACATTCCCCCAGACAACAGGGAAAAGGAGTGTATTGTCCTCATAAATGAGTGAGTCACTCCACAGTTCCCAAACACATTGAGAAGTGATAACGTGTTATCAGTGTTGCTTAGCGCCACTATGACTAACACCTCGGCTCTAAGTCACAGCTAGAGGACAAGTTTTCTTTGTTTATTCTTCTGTATGTTGAGGCGGCTATTAATATCCATTTGCAACAACGATAAGTCAGATGGCATTGAGCAAATTTGGAGTAACAAAATAAAACACCTTCATCTGGGATGTAATTACTACTATCGCTCTTATTAAATTGGAGTTTGCCTTATGAATATTACATGAGCATTTTACTCTTTACAGAGGCATTTTAAATGTACACACCATTATTGCATGTGAGCACGACTGGTGAACAAACTGCTAACCCCAGCACCTTCCTGAATTCACAACTAAACATATCAGAGCGTTAGCAGTGCCCGACACATACACCGAAACGCACATGATCAGCAAGACAAATGACCAGAATGACATTTGAGAAACTATAATTACTGCCCCTACGTGTACCTGCCACCTTTTATGTGACAGCAGGAAAGAAGGAGTGGGGGTATTGAGTTGTGGCCCACTTTGTATGGGAAAAGAGTTTTATGATATTTGTTCCAAATAACTTTTCAATTTCAATCTCATTCTCAACATTTATAGCTCCAAAGAAGCCCTTCCCACATGATGAATTTGCAATATTTCACAGGATCATGCCATAGTATATTCAATATCATATTCAGTGTCAGTGGCTGGACCTGACAGGATCGAAATAAATATTGCCATGGCCTGCTGAGCTAAAACATTAACAGCAAATTTTATGTTCCAGTATAATTTATTAATCACATGGAAATTACATTTTTATATTGCTTTGTTGTTCTGCAAAGCGATCAAAACAGAGTAAAATGCCTTTTTTTAAATGTATTTCCTGCGACAGCAAGGTTATAGAATGGGAAAAGTGTGTTTTTACGAGTCTCTGAAATAGTCTCAGGCCATTTTCTGAGACACAGATAACTTTTGAAACTTTTTAAGAAAACCAGGCTGTTATCGAAAATGTTGACTTGCTTTTCATTATTCATAATAAATGCAATCATACTCTTTTATATAATGAGGGTGAACTTAAATCAACCTGAATTCTTAACCGGTTTTAATATGAGTTGGTGTTTTAATTATGCTTATTTCAATTGTAACGTCCACATGCGCATACTGTATCTCTATGATTGTCTTTGTGAAGCCTGTCATTGTCTATATGTGTATACAGAATTGTGTTTATCTGTGTGAGTAAATAATTACGGAATTATCTTTTTTTTACTTTATGCTGCAACAGGATGACTAACTACTTCTGTATAAGCTATGCTTTCTGCCCTCGAGCTTCTACACATGTGTTTTTTTTTTTGGATGTGTAAACTGTCTAATTGTGAAATAGTAGAATACATAAAAAAATATATAAAAAAGCACTTTGTTTGCTTTTCAAAATACTTTATACAGTATTTGAAAAAACAACAAATGTGTCGTGCTGTCATTTCTTCAGAACAGTGGTGTGTACCGCAATCGGAAACTGAAGGAGTGCTAATACACAAACATATCGTTTACTGCATAATGTTCCTTTAACTAATAAAATCAGATCTCCCTGTCCAAGAGTAGACTTGTAATGGGTAAATAACAACTTTGTTTTAATTTTCCATCTCCATACATTTGAATTGGTTGCAGCCTGTTGCTGGACAGCTGGATTGGTTTCCTCTTTGTAATTGGATTGTCACGACCATGTTGATGTACTCAATGGGGCCCTAAAGGCAGAGATCCTCCATCTGCACGGCAACAGCAATGCAGCCATGTTTCATACCAGGAACATGATTCACATTACACAGAAGGTTGTGATAAACCATTCAATCTCTAATAATGTGATTTATTTTTGTATTGATTTTTGTTGATTCGATTTGTGATGATTAGATTCCTTGGGGTTAATCTAGGTAACATGTCGTGTTTGGAGTTGCTGCATCTTTTCAATGCACACAATCCATTAAGCCATTCTTTACCATAACAGTGTTGTATTCACAGCTGGTGCTCTGAGGATAGCAGAGTGTGAACACTCAGGGTAAAGGACAATGAGATGTTTTGACTACAACACTAAGAATATGTTGGCGAGTAAATAATCATGCTGACATCCAATATGGCTCTGGGCCTATATCTTCAATACAAATCTATAGTGTAGTACTGAAAACATGCCCATATGGAGATGACATGTGTCTGCAAATATTATGTTCCACTGATTTCTCCGTCGGTGTGGAGAGGGAAAATATCTCATGATAACGATAACACTACGAGTACTGCAGTCCAATTGGAAGATTAACCATGTATCTGTGTGTGTAGTACCAACAAGGAGCCTGCATGTTTTTGCCAAGATCAATTAAATATACTCACACACAATGAATTAAGAATTGTAGTCATAGATGGATACTTCATATAGTTTACTTCTCCAAAAACAGTCCTTATGTAACTCAGATTTAGTGGTGTTAACTCCATGTATTAAATGACCTGTCAATCAAATTAATTTACATTTACAGTGTTCAAAATCTTCTACGATGATATGGTTTAATGTAATGTCTCTATAACTATACACATCTGAAAATAGCATGCCTGATTATATAAATATTAATTTAGTACACTAAGCCTTTTTTGTCTCCTATGTCAATTAAATGGAATGCAAAATTAATATGAAACCCTAAATTAAATTAGGGAGAATAAACTAATATATATTTTCAGCTATACATTGTAGATGGCGTAAATATCTCTATATTCCATCACTTTATTATTCCATTAACAGATTATAAATATCATATTGCATTATCCCAAAGCCCTAATTAAGTTTGCATTCAAATATTTGTTTAATAAACAATTGCCATCAAAAGCATTGTCTCTTCTTAACAGTCTTATAATGAGAAATAGTGACCATTTTATAATCATGTATTTAAAACAATAGCTTATGTGAGCCACGTCACTATGAGTGAAACTGCAGGCAAACATAATGTTAACAGTGAAAACCACTCCTGAATGATTAAACTCTAGAAAATATCAGATTATTTATGCAATTTCCTACACAGCAATTTCGTTTCATTTTTTTCTGATTTAGAGCCATTTCAAAGTCACTGATATCCACAGGAATATTATGCACCTCCTTCTATCCACCCAAAGCAGATAAATCAAAGGAAGCGTGTTGCTGAGATGAATTGTATATCTGCTTTAAAACAGTGCATTAGCGCAGAGTTAGGTGCTTAGCTCCACTCGGCTCAAGGTGGATTGTGAATTGACGATCAATGGCTTCCAGCAGGGCATAATGGAGCCCAGATGCTTCTTTTGATTAAGAGAGTCAGGGTAGGAGCTGACAGTGGTGAGCCGCACACACATCCAGCTTGAACTGTCTGCTGTGTAATAATCACTCAATTTTACTGAGGAACAGATTGCAGATTGTCTGATTGGTCGGACTCCAAAGTCTGAGGGGTGCACACAGAGCAGGACCATTTTGGTGTCTGCTGTGAGGTGTGCCAATGCAATTTTCAGCATTTTAGACCCAACATAGAAGCCTGCTGAACATCATGAGATTTGCAGACGCCAAGGCATTTTCTGGCATAGTGGACCTACAGCTGTAGAGATTTGATTTGGCCCTGTTGTGATGCAGGTGAGTCTGGCGTCCTTCAGCCCAACATCATGGCCACATTATGGAAGGAAAACCAAATATGTATGCTGTAAGTTCTTGTTCCATCACTTATCGTTGAAAAAATGAACAGAAAACACATTTTTGTTAGCTATTAACAACATTAAAATGCTGATAGCAGACGGACCACATGCTGTTCTGACTGTATTGCATCCCCGTTCATGAGAGACGCAAACCAATTTAGCATGGTTATGTGGTCAGTATTATGTGTGTCTCTGAGGGCCATTTCATACAAGGTTATGCAAATACAGAGTGGGAATCGTGCTAGGAGGGATGTAATCCTTATGAGGTGAATGTGTGTTGCGGCATTTGGAACAAACCTGGTTCCAGAGGCCCTTCCACAGCTTCACTGGGGATGTAATCTCAGTGGCTCTTTGAAACATTGACAATGACAGGCACCTGTGTGATGTGATGGACGTCTCTCTGTGTAGTCAGATGTAAGAGAGCCTGTAGGTGAAATCCACACCTGTATCCGACAAACAGCTCCACGGCATGGCTCCTGAGAGGCTAGTATAAAAAAGCGAAATCCCATCCACAGCAAGGGCCATTGATTCAGTTAATTTTATGCCGGAAAATGATTTCCCCGACGGGCAGTTTCGCCAAAGCACATTGCGAGTGAAGAAGGCTCCCCACACTAATGTTAAAGCATTGCTCACTATCTATTTACCGTGTGTATGGAATTCATAACATCCTCCACTAACATGAGGCTCAGCGAAATGCAGAAGACCGTCCCACGTTTATAAATCTGATCAGACACTTTTTTTTTTTATCCAAATGCATTCTAACACAATAAAATGCACCAGCCGAATACAAAATATGCTTTTAGATTTTCATCTGTGCTAAACAAGTTTAGAGAGAAGAAGCATTGTAATAGATCTAAAAATAAATACAAAAACGAAATCATACTTTTAAATGAAAAGTGCAGCATTTTCCGCGTGGATTATCCAATACAATCCATTAGATTTGTCCGCCTAGGGCATTTATACAAATCAGGGCCCATGGTGCGTGAGAGTGCCTCACCGTCGGTTTTCAGAGTTAGAGGCGTTGGAGGGCTCAGAACCCTGGCATTCGTCACCGTGTTCTTCACCAGACAGATGTAACTTCCCACATCAGAGGGTTGCACCTTGGAGATGTACAGGTTTCCCGTGTCCTGGGAGATGAAGCGCCGACTGTCCTCAGCAACAAACGAGGGGAACTCATTAAACACCCAGCTGTACATGATCTCTGTAAAAGTAAGTGGAGAACGTACGGATTAGAAATGAAAAATAACCTTTATTTGTGGTTGTATTAAGTGTTTTCATACTCTTCTATGCATTTAATTATTTAGCATATAATCTCTAGTGACTTTAGAAAATGCAATAATACACCTTTCATGGCATCTAAGATCACCTGACCCCACATAGGTCAGTAGTTTGAGGTAAGGTTATTATTTCATAGACTTCTTTACAATCTTACTGCGTTTATTAAGCAGTGGAGTCGCTCCCTGATGAATAATAAAGTGTGAGGAATGCAAGAGTGAACTCTGAACTTGAGCAGTCAGAGATCAAAAGTAGTCAAACTAGTCCGTCCTTGAGGATTTAATAAGAGGTGGAAATTACATGCAATGCTGAATAGTACATGCATTGTCTAAGCATTCAACTTTAACTGGCAAGACTTCACTGCAAAACAAATCTGATTGATATAGCATGTTGAATATTGCCATGTTATGAAGTATAGTTAGGGTTTTCACATCCATTAAAGTAGAATACACTATATTGTATGTTAACTGCAAAACACTATGAACATTTTTAGAAGCTGATAATTCAGCAAAGCCATGTTTATCACTGCTCGAAATGTATGAATAATCTTTAAAAGAAGTAATGAGTATGGGATTTGCAAAGGATCAGCTTTTCTTCAGCATGCAATGAGTGTATACAAAGTCAAGGAAACAAATAAAGAGGTCCCTGAAGGTGAACAAAAAACAATTATACAGGGCTTTAATGAGCCTGGTATTTGCAGCTCAGTTATGTAATGAATGGATGTACCATTGAATAGGTAAAACTGAGATTCAGGGTGAAATGATTTCAGTAAGCAGCAAAAATAAAGCACAGAAAATAGTTCTGACTTTATAGCCAAAACTTTTTAGACTACCGGTAGTTATAAAAGGTAACTGCCTCTAGGTTGAGTTTTTATTATTGTATTCATGACTAACAGCATGTTATAGAGGCAAATTGAATTGCTGATCCATAGGCAGCACAGATGTGCTTATGTTTTTGCTTTACAATGCTTGCTGCTACACACATTAAGTTTTTTGAAACAAAATGTGGGTTTGCAGAAAGATGGCTATAAAAAAAAGAGCCAGAAATCGTTGGTGGTTAAGTGACCCTGAATAGGATATAAGTGGGTAATTAAATAGATGGATGGATCAATGCAATATGATGAAGATAGTGTAGACTTTCTGTTTTATTTCCCGTCTGTTCTGCAAAGCCCTACACAGCCACATCCACCATTTTACATATCAAAAATACTCTTAAAGTCAGGAATAAGTTAATCTGTTCAATATTTTACAACTCTTTGATTTCAAATTCATAATCTATCTGGTCAGGAGGACAATTTGAAGGCATGTCTTCTTTAGATTATCAATTTCTATTCTCAATTATAACTAACTGATGTTTAATGAGGGCTCAAAGTCAGTGACGCAATGAGGTTGAAATCTGAATCAAATTCAGGATCCTTTTACATTTAGTGTAAGTCAATAGATGCATTTGCAAAATCAGCATCCTTTGCTTAAAGAGGCCCTATTTTTTTGGTGTACCTTTCCTCTGGAGCAGGGGTGTCAAACTCAAGGCCCGGGGGCCAAATCCGGCCGTGACTTCATTTTATGTGGCCCCTCAAGAGCTTGCAAAGAATAATACGTTTATTATACGGTTACATGCCACTTTATATAAGCACGTTGCCCATAAACTACTTGTCCCACAATGCACCTCAAATTTGAATTTTTTTCTCAGAATTTGACTTTTTTTCTTCTAAATATACCTTTTTTGTTATAGTTGTTTTTCCAAATGTAACTTTTTTTTCCAAATGTCACTTCTTTTAAAAAAAAAAAGTCACTTTTTTTTTCTTTCAAAATGTCACTTTTTTTTTAATTCAAATTTCGCTTTTCGTTTTCTTCTCCAGAATTTGGCTTTTCTTTTTAAATCATTTTGTGAAATTCTCAATGAAGAGACTTGCAATTATTTTCCCTAGACTTCTGCTTTCAGACGTAGTTAATTATGAAGTCATTACCCTATCCGATAATAATCCAATGCAGAGGAAAATAATGTAATGTAACACATTATTTTATATATATGTATTTTTATATAGTCTTAAAATTACAACCGGCACTTTGAGTGCAGCCATAATGCTGATGTGGCCCGCGATGAAGTTTGACTCCCCTGCTCTAGAGTCTATATAGGATGTTGTGAACGTAAATAGTCTGTAAAGGCTGGAATCCTAAAGTTCCCTCAGGAGGGAGTTTGTCTCTCACACACTCCCCCCTTCTTGACACAACATGCAATCATGAAAGCTGAAAACGAGCATAATAATCTAATGAGAGGGAAGCAGGGATTGAGGATTGAGGATTGTAGTTAAAACAGATAATGTTAAAATATATATAGAATAATAAATGATTTTTTTTGGGGAGAATAACAATTATCAATGACACCAGGGGCCCAATAGGTTTTGTTGAAACTACTTTAGTGTCATAAAAGTAAAATACTATTTACCAAAGACACATAAAAAGTGATTACGAGCGTTCGAAGCCATGAAATAGAAAATATTACACTGTTCACATCCCAATGATTCCACATTATTTTCACTCATGAGACCTATCTAATTTAAGTGGCATTTTAATGTCTTTGAATCCTCCCACAACCAATTGTACCCAAGCATTGTTTAACGCTCCCTCTACAATGTGAATTTCCATTGTGACACGGTCGGACTCACCTACGCATTCATCACACCGGCAAATGTTATGGCTGTGGCATTTTACTTAAATCATTTGTTTGCTGTTGGAGATCATTTTTCATTTTCATGTCAACGCTGAACAAATACATTATAATAGTACCTGTTTTGTGTATTTGAGCATCATATTTATACATGAGAAATAATAGGTAACAAAATGAAACCCTCACACCCTGTTGAGCATGCCTGCCATTCATCAATATGCATTACGTAAATATTCTACATATATGTCAAACCTGAACAAATCACTGTGACTTTCTGAGTGCAGTATGATTACTTAGGCCGCTGTTTGACAAGCTAAATGTAACACATTTGTATAGCTTTGATTGAAAAACCATCTAAACTGGTAAAATATGAACACTTATTTCTTAACAACCATGTCAGCCAAGGTTGCCTTGTAAAGTACTTTAGATTTTCCTGCTTTTAAACCTGAAATGCTTTTTATTCATCGAAAAACCAGACTTTAAGAGGAATAGGGAAGCTTCAGTACCCTTTGATAGCAATTTGTTAAAGTCACAATGTTATTAGATGGCAGTTATTCTGGGATTCAGGTGCCACAAGTGTCACTTTGTAGTAGTAGTGTACTGACTTTGGTTCATAAATAGTGATATGACAACCTCTCACAAAATGTTGTTATACTTCATCCAAGCAAAAGCAAGGATTTAAGTATTTCAATGACTCATCACAGTCCGTTTCTCACACTAGACTTTATATATTGAGGTCATTTCATGATATGATGTTGAATCGTATGATTCCTAAATGCAATGTTAGCAGTTGAATGATTATTTATATAACATATTCTGTATTGATCCCACAATCTAATCCCAGCAAGGTAACATGAGGGTCTCACAGTATGTAATTGACCCGTGGTCAATTTTACAGCATACAGCAGCAAGACTGTAACAAACCTTAAATGACAGAAAATCCTTATTTCCATTATACAGATCTCACTCCATAAAATAATATATATATATATATAGATAACATAATCATCTGCAGTGTTCGATTCCAATTTTATGTCAATCACATTTCCAACCTTGAAATGTGGGTAAAAAGCATGTACTGTATGTACTGTGGGTTGACCTTTTATTTAGTGTGAAAAATGTCATCCACGGTGAGCCAAAGCAACACCTGTGGTGTGATGGATGAAGAACTTTAAGGATGAGAACCATCTGTACTTCATTTTAATCCGTCAATCATGAATCATTCATCTTTATTCATCACATATATTGGTCAGTGAGCTTAAGGTTGAAAGCATGTTTTAAAAAAAGCATCCAGAAAGCAGAGCTGGAGAGCTGTTGGCAAACATTCCAGTGGGTGCAGTGCAGCGGTACGAGCTGATGCAAACAGAAAGCCTGGATGATTCATGGCTCACATAAGAGCCCACATTAGAGGACAACTGCAGAGTGGGATATTCTAGATATACCATTAAACAGTGATGCACTATGCTTTGTCTATGTGAAATAATTGGCTGTGCAACATTATTTTCATTTCTAATGATCCAGCACATTTGATTTCAGAGAATCCATGCCCTGGCTGTGTTGTCGCCATAACTCTGTTTTGGTCATAGCTCTCATTTGAACGACATGGATGAATATAAAAAGAGCAACATGAAAATGAAATACTAAATTATCAATAAGGGACCCAGGCTAAGTCAAATCTTTGCTCCTTGTTGATATTGAAATTGGGATGAATGGGTTTATGGACAAAGGCAGTGAAGAGAAAAAGCATGTGTTTTTCTTCTGGCTGGGACTGAAGGTCAACCTCTTACCTGGTGAATGAGGAGGAGGGGTACACATGAGGACCACCCCTTGGCCTTCACGCACAGAAACGCCACCTCTGGTTTTCCCACTGAAAGCCCCGAGATCTGGAACAGAACACAAAGACAATATTTCTCAGCAAAAATATATCACATTTAAAACATATGGTACAGTAAGTGATCGAACACAGAACCGGTTCTTGAATTGCCTTTACATGTGCAACAACCTAACGACATCAGTTGGTCTCGGACTGGTGCAATGACAGGGAGACAAAGGTATGATAAAAAGCTTCAATTCACAGCGCAAGTTGTTGTATACATATTTGTTCCAAAGGGAGGAACAATTGGCAATATGCTGAGCATTTGTCAACACAGTGTGCCTTAAAGGGCAGAAAGGTCTTGTTTCCCTACGTGTGAGGAACACATCCCCTCAACCCAGTAGTGTCACTGGTCCAACTCCTAAAGGTACAATTCTGTTTATTACAATAATGTCAGGGGCAATTGATAAAGGGTCAACATGCTGTTGTGTCCTTGGGCATAACAATTCACCCTCATTTGCTCCTGTGGGTATTGTCCACAGTATTCATTGTTACATGGTCTAATATATGTAATGAATGTAATGTGAGGCGCTTTTAGCATCTGGAAATGCGCTAAATAAATCTAATAAATTATTGTTATTAAATATTAAAGGAATCGATAAAAACATTTGTATACAAAAATTGCTCCCATCCCTAAACATAGGGAAACAGCCGATAACAGTCAACATTTGAGTTGGTAAGGATGATGTTTCCCTTTTTTTAGATTTAGAGAAGCTGTGTACTACATAAAAAGGGACTTTTATGCTTTTGGAATTACGTAGTCATCTTATTTATTCATTTCCTTTTCCCTTTAATTTATTTTGTATACTCTTCCAACAAATACCATTCTGCATTCTTTATTTTATCTTGTTCATTTTGTGACTACACATGAATGCGTTTTTGTATGCGTAGATGGAGAAGAGCATTGACAAAAGATGTGCTGACGTATCAGTGTTGGCTCGATAAAGAATATTGGAAACATTTTGAGTTGCTGGCACACAGAAAAAGCTTTTGTCTTCCATCTGATTCCCGATCACGTTCTCCCACACAGATGGTTGTGTTCGCTGCTTCTAGCGCTTGTCGCTGTACCAGCAACTCCTGATCCTCATGCACATAACGCACATCAACATTGTCCAATGTGAACATACCAAGAGACAATAGAGAAGCTTGGGCAGTCACACGAGAGAGGCATAAGAATGGTGTCTAAGTGGAAAAAAGGAGTTCGAAACTATCACATTCGATCAATGAAGTCATGCTCTGGACGCCAGATTTACTTTACTTAACCAAACATCTTTAATGGTTTCATTTTTGAATGTACTATTGTGACAGATTTAGTTTTCACCTTGTTTCTTTATCTGTGGAAATAGGGCAAAGCATGTTTAATCTGAAATCCCAGAACTGCAGCCTTTTAGACCCTGATACTGCCTGTTTCATTTCTAATTGAAGCGATGCCAACGTGTGGAAATGAAGCGACAGGCTGCTGACCCAGGGCGGGTCTCTGTGTCTTCACCACTTTCATATTATCACTTTGAGAGGCAGTGTTTACCACAACCTTGGAACAGTAGGATAATTATGCCTCCAAGCAACTTGTGAAACCTGCATTTTTCACTTAATTTATTTAGGCCTATTTTATGAGAATAATGGTTTGTATTATTTATCTACAAATGTACGACACTTTCAATTTCCTGTCAACGTGTGTTTTTCTTCCAAAAAATCAGTGTGTCGTTTTTGTAGACAGATAATGTAACTTAGAAAAATAAATTTGAATTGAGAAGTGTGAGACTGACCGTTGAGCGGCCCGACCAAGTAAGGAGGCAGAGAGTTCACATATATCCCGGTGTGGGCATTTACTTAATCATAGACACGTGACATGACACAGCCTCAATCTGACTTTCCATGTGAACACCATCACCAACCACAAGGCTCTCACCCCCACTGACAGGAAAACAGAGCCTAAATAGACCCAGACCAATCAAACCAACAAGACACAGGTGAGGGGGGAGGAGACAACACAGGGCACCAGGTGCACACAATCAGCAGCAACAGACATGGGGGAGTGATATGTCAACTTTACACAGTGGTAACTTGTACAATTAATACAACTTAACGTCATCTTTTATACACCCTCAACATATTATTTGCACCCTGATTATTCTCAACCGCTGTCATTCTTACACCAGCATATTTACTTTCGGCGCTCTCGCTAACTCCCCTATCTTTTCAGGCGGAGCCGAGGACCCGACCAGCACCTGCCAGACGACATTCCAATCAATACGGTTCAATCAGTTAATAAATACTACCTCGATAATTAGTATAAATTATGTGCAAATATGTAATGTCAAACTGTACTGTGCAATCAAGCTAATAAAGTGCAAAAGTTACCTTTGTCACAAGAAGAAAAAAAGCACACGATAATTACAATACTAAACTAAAGTTTACTTTAAAACCATTAAAAAAAGAATTACCTTAACCTTGTCAAAACAAGAGTGGAGGACGAGTAAATATTTCATGTGGTTCAATTGTTCAATGCACTCCCTCAGTAGACTCAACCAGGAGAGTAGCCTGTCATACAATCTGGATTTGAAGCCTTCACTCCACACAAGAAATCAATCCGCCATGCCGACCACTTCCTGTACTTGAGAGAAGGAATATCCAACACTGAACAGACAGATTATTAGCACTGGAGAGAGTACAATGCTAAAACACCACACAAAGCTAACATTCCTGTAATGCAAATGACTGTAGAGACCGATTCATTTAAATGTAACTTTGATTGATTGAACCTTTTATCTTAAATTGATTTACCACAGATTGGACTGTCAATGCAATGTTAGCTGCCTCCAATCAAACAGGGGGGGGTGTACCGAATTGTAATGCGTTTCGATATTGGACCTTGACAGCTTGGCCTGCTTCCTTGTGATACTCAATCCCATCATCTTGGCCCATTTGCTGTGTGTGACTAGTGCTGATGTATTTGTGCTAACAACCTGCCACCAGAGTATAGGGATGGAGAGCCGCTGATTGTGGCCATGTTCCCTATTGATTCACCAGCAGCTGTCAACACCCTGTCTTTCTGTGTCAGTGTGGCTACCATCTGCATCATATATTCCCTTTTTTATTTGCAGATCAATTACTGGACATTTTATTTTATAATTTGCAATTGTATTTATTACATATATTTTATGTATTTTATGATCATTTTAATTTATATACTTGCAATGTATGTGTTGTAAATGATTTGTTCTCTGTCATTGAGAATTGTGTAGTCATACAGTATGGAAATATGTGAAAGTCAAGTCAATATTTCTCTATGTGAATACTGTGATTATCATACTCTGTTATTGATGATGTAAATACATCCAGTTCAAATAATGTGCAGATCAATGATCTCTGTGCTGTTGCTTGAATGCATAAACAGACGAAAGGTGGGCTTAATTCATTTTTCACGTTCACACAGCGGTGATTTTGGCCGGCCGTCTTTCCTGCAACGGCAGTTTAAACTGTATTTCCTCCACACTGAGCTCTGATTGGTCAGCAGGCGTGGTGCTTTCGCTGAGTTGATCTCTTATCCTGGAACCTATCCTGCTTCGGAGGACAGACTAGGTTCCAGGATAAGTCACCATGGAGATCTACCCCGCTAAAAAGTGAACCAGCTTCGTAGTACCGGAAAGTTATCTTACTAAACGAAAATCCTGCTTCGTAGTATACCCCCCCCAGGTTAGGATGCAGGCTAAGAGATCAACTCAGTGAAAGCACTGCCTGCTGACCAATCAGAGCTCAGTGTGCGGAGTTTAAAGCGATCAAGTCATATTACAGGAGAAAGGAAATGCAGGAAAGACGGCCACCGACTGTGTGAACGTGAACGTTAATAGAATATCACCTCCCATCTTCAGAGCAATCTGACTATTATAACATTAGCGTTAAGAAAGCTTACTTAAATATCTGCCACAACATAAGTAACCGGATCATTAAGTACAGTCCGCGGCATATCACATCATAATGTATCATATATTTCCTTATCTGAGTCAGCTGAGCCATATCTGGCCGTGCAACACTCACAGTGTCACATACTGTATGCAGAAGTATTATTTTAAGCAACACATTAAGTTGACGAAACACTCGAGTCAAATGTAATTAAAGTCAGATTGTGTTTTAGACGGGGCAGTGATATCATAAACCTGTTAATGTACACATTCAAACACTTTTTCTTTTACCAGCTGTATTCACCTTGCAGGTGCAGACGACGCTGAAGTTGGCTTCCGATTCAGAGCATCCGATTCGGCAGTTAAGGGGAAAGTTAAGGGACATTTAATTTACAGCGCTGAATGAACAATCCTCCGTGTTTGTACCTCTTAAATCGCTGCATAGCCGATTTATTTGGACTAGATTATCCCAGAGAGTCTAAAGATTATTTATAACCCAGTTTGAGATTTGTGAAACCTTTATTCTATTTGTGAAAATACAAAAAAGGGAGATTTCAGTGCTTTTTTCACATGTAGACCACATTAGACCAGGTCCTGATCTAAAACCACTAGACCTAGACTCATCAAATCTGGACTGGATTATCCCAGAAGGTCTAAAGATTCTTTATAACACAGTTTCAGATTTGTGAAACCTTTATTCTATTTGTGAAAATACAAACAAGGGAGATTTCAGTGCTTTTTTCGCATCTTGACCACATTAGATCAGGTTCTGATCTAAAACCACTATACCTAGACTCATC